GGAAGAAGGAAAGGGAAAGGGAAGGACGAGGAGGTCCGACCGGTACGGTCGGTCGTGTCCGTCCCTCCTCGTGGTAGTAGTGGAGTCGTCACACACACACACACACACACACACACACACACACACACACGCTTAATCTCGTTTCAGTGCCTGCTGCAGTCAGCTCCGTTTGCTGTGTTAGGCACTGTTTTAGGACCTCATCTCTTCCATCCTCGTGACGACCCTATGAAGTGAGCAGTGTCACTACTCCTGTTTACAGCTGGCTGCTGCTTGGGCTCTTGTGTCACTGCCCTCGGTCACACAGCCTGGAGGACGCAGAGCCAGGATGTGAGCCCACGTCTGTCTGCCTCCAGCTTGAGCTCTAAGCTGCTCAGCACTGTCCTGCCTCCCCTGCAAAGGTGCTCAGGAGATAGGTGGTAAATGTGTGATTGGATGGTTGGACAAATGACACAGCAACAACAGTAATATTTCATATTTAAGTTTGTTAATTACTAAAATATTTCAGCTGCTGACTCTTTGCCAAGTGCTGTTCTGAGTGCTTTGCCTGTGTCAGCTTACAAAATCGGTGTGATGCTGCTATGAGATGCCAGCTGTAACATCCCCATTTTCCAGAGCAGGAGACTGAGGCACAGCACAGCCAAGTTAGGTAAATGGCCCGAAGTCCCTCAGCTAGAGCTTGTTGAGTGAATGAGACCAAGATCAGATATGACCCCAGAGACCTGCCTAAGGCTCACTCCCTCACCTCCTACTGTTCTAGGCTCAAATGTCACTGGCAGGGACCAGACTGCCTCCCTGCCTAGCATCCCCCACGCCCATGCTCTCCTGTCTGCCTCTGCTTTATTTGTCTCCTCAGCAGTTACCACCATCTGACATCCTGCGCATCTTACCCTCTGTCTTCTGCTCCGGAATGTAAGCTCTAAGAGGGCAGGGGCTTTTTCTGTTTTGGTCACTGCTGGTGCCTACTTCCTAAAAAGTACCTGGTGCAGGATAGATGCTCAATAAATATTTATTGAATCAATAAATGAAACAATGAATCAAAACTTTGTCTCTCAACACCAGGCAGTGGTTTTCCTGGGTGACTCAGCCAGGGCATCCTGGCATCTTCTGCCATGACAACGTTCCCAGTGAATTGCATTCCCCATTCCACATGAATAACATGCTCCGACATGCATGCCTCACGTGCTGTTGCCCTTTTCCAGCCCTGTCACCCAGAGCCCAGTACCTCCACCTGAGGGGACTTCTGTAAGCCCCGCCCCAGTGACCCCAGCTGCTGCTGTCCCCGCGGCTCCCTCGGCGACCCCCACTGCCCCGCCAGAGGAGGAGGACCCAGCCCTGTCCCCACACCTCCTGCTCCCCGACAGCCTCAGCCAGCTGGAGGAGTTTGGGCGGCAGAAGAAATGGCACAAGCGACAGAACAAACACCAGCGGCCGCGGCAGTTCAATGACCTCTGGGTCCGCATCGAGGACAGGTGAGCTGGGAGGAGCAGGTCTCCCGGGAGCTGGGCGTCTCTCCCGGTGAGCCTACCTCAGACCCACCAGGGCTGGGCAAGCTCTGTTATCCGCTAGCCCCATTCAAGGAAGCGTGGCAGGTGGGTACTTGATCAGAAACTGGATTGTTTCTGTTCTCAAAGGATCCTCCTGTTTATCCTTCAGGGTTTGTAGAGCGTGCTCATACCTGACTTAATTTTTATTCTCAAAATGAGAACAAATACAATTTTCTCCATTTAAAGTTGAGGGATAGAAGCTTCCCTTCAGGTACACTAGACAAAAGTCTGCTTTGTCCTTACCTTTCTTGGATGCACCTGCGGTGCAAAGTAGGCTCCATTTGTCCCATGAGCCAGAAGGTGAAAATAGGAGAAAATGGAACAGGGCAGCTGCATCAGGAGGCGGTGAGCTCCCTGCACCTGGATGGTCTCAGTGGCCGACACCCTGACAGGGAGGTTGCAGGGGGTATCCTGCTGTGCAAGCGAGAGATGGCAGGTGATGGCTGTGGGCTTAGCTGGGAAGGGGATAGGGGATTTGTGATAAACCTTGTTGGAAATGGACATTGTGCCTCGGTACTGGGCCTTCGGAGACTCAGAGTCTCCATCTGGACCCTAAAGATTATCATCTGAGATTTTCCTCAGCATTCCCAGAAAGAATCACCTTGGGTACTTGTAAATAATATCCCAGGCCCCAGACCTCATGTGTCAGAACCGGCCACGTGGGGGCCTGCAAAGCTGTTGTGTTGAATGTGCACTGGGAGTCTGAGCAGCTCTGGGAAACACGGACCTGGCTCCTCACTTACAGATGGTGAGCCAAGCCTGGAGTGGGGGCTTCCCAGGGTCGCACAGGCATCCCCATCAGGAGCCTCCCTCAGCCAAGTCTCTGAATCATCGACAGGCAGTTGAACACAGTCAAATCCACTATCTTAAAGTGCAGGGTGTGCGCTCTCTTAAAAAGACTTTCAGTGAATAAGCATCAAGTCTTTTGCTCCTTTGGGTCTGTGCTGGCTTCAAAGCGCCTGACTTGGGTTACCTGGAAACGTGCGTCTTCAGAGCCCCCACCGGCCTGGCCTGCCAAAGCGGAGGCACCCCTGAGGCTGTTATTGGCCTCTACACATTTGGCTCCCATGCCCAGCATGGGCCACCCCCTTCAGACCGGGAGCGAGGACACAGAGTTACCGAGAGCCACTTCCTTCAGCCCTGGGGAGGGCTCGCCGGCTGCCAGGGAGGCGTGGGGCAGACAGGGGCGGAGGCTGGCAGCCCATAAAGCACTCCAGTCAGGCCTTTCACCCAGGGCCCCCATCAGCCCGCCTGGCAACCAGGAGACCTGGCCAGCAGTGGGTCCAGTCCACAGGGTGACAAGAGGCGGGGCTGTCAGCTCCAGCCACAGACCCCCAGCCCCTAACCACGTCTGAAAGGTAAATTTCGGCAAATGACTCCAAACGGTTTCCTTTTCACAACACGTCTCTCTGAAACACAGAGCCTGGTTTCAGGAGAAGAAAACAGCTTTTCTTTGGCAAGAAGGAGCGCCTTCTTGGTCCCAACAGGTAAATTGTGGTTGGATAACTCCTCCATCTGGTTGGGTCAGAGAAGGAAATTTCCACCAACTGGCAGCCTGTCTGTTGTAAGTTTCTCTGGATCATGGAGGAAGCCAACCCTGAGCTCCTGAGCTGCCTAGGCACAGGGGGCAGCTTCTGTCATTCTTGGGTCTCACCCCATCCATCCTCCTGGAGTCATAAGTTCCCGATTCTCCGAGAGAGAGCAGAGGAGAGCTCTCTAGGGGGAACCTGGGGCCCATCTGTAGCCCTTCTGACAAAACCGTTTTCCTTGGAGCTTTAATTCCATTCAGAGTTTTCTCATTTTCTTCCCCATAAATCCCACCGGATCCACCCTCTGCTCTCCATCCCCTCTCCCCAGCTTGTCTTCCACCTATGACCCTGCAGCAGGGTCCCAAGAGATCTGTGGCCCCCAGTGATACACTAGCCCATCGCCCTCCTCAGCCTGAGATCCTTCAGTGCTTCCCCCTCCTCCCACCAGGTGAACTTCCTGCCTCTCAGCCTGGGGGCAGAGCCTTTGCCCCCTTCCCGCCTCACCCGCTGGCCCTCCCCCTGGGGGATACCAGGCTCTGCGCTGTCCCTCAGCAGGCCATGCACAGCCGACCCCCCACCTTTGTCCTTGCTTCTCTCTCTGCGGGGGTGGATGTGAGTGGACATTTGCTGAGCTCCTGCTCTGTGCCAGCCACTTACATCCATCACGTCCCCGATCCTGTCAAGTCCTGGAAATAGGCTTTTTTAGACCAAGGAGGAAACTGAGGTTCAGCAAGTTCAGGTAACTTACCCGAGACCAGGTAGCAAGTCAGGTATGGCGTCAGAACTGGGAGGTGTGTCTAATGCTAAGAGTCACATGTGTCCAGCACCTTGCAGATGCCCCTGCTGCCCTCACCTGGCAAGCATCTCCTCCCTCTTCCCCTTCCTCCCCAGAGCCTGTTTTCTGTGCTGTCCTCCCCCACATCCCACAATCTTCTCCCCACCACCCACACCCTTGCCTCCCCCATTGGGTGCCCTGTCCCGGCAGTTACACAGATGGCAGTTCCTCGCTTATGTTTCTAGGCTGGGAGGCCCTGGGTACCAGAACTGAGTTGGACTTCTCTGGGTCACCGGAGTCCTCCCTGAGGGTTTGTTGACTGCATGCATGAGTGAGAGAAGGGAGGAGCGAGTGAGGACGGGGCCGAAGCGCCTGGCCAGGACACCACCTGGAGCAGGCCGGCCTCCCCTCACCCCTCATTACCCCAGATGTAAACACAGCGAAGGAAGTTTAGAGAAGCAGCAGCCCGTGACAAGATGATTTATGGGGACCCGTGGAAAGGGCCGAGCGCGTGTCCGCAGATGGCTGTGCAGCAGCGTCAGGACACTCTCAGGGACCCCCCCACGTCTGAGACTCAGGAGGGGACAGCAGGGTAAGTGTGTGTCCAGGGGGTTCACCAGGGCGGAGGCCATTCCCACGCTGGCTGTGTGCCAGGCACTGCCCCAAGACAGTTGGATCTGTGACAATCCTCGGTTTCTCATTTTACACAGTTAAGGCCTTGACTGGACGGGCCTCTGCAGGTCACGCCCGCTGGCTCTGCTGTTCTCCCAGTCCACAGCTGGGACGTGTGGGGTTGGGGGAGGGTTGGATAAACAAGGGAGCAAAGTGCTGGGCCCTCTGGATTGAAGTTCAGTTACGAGGGGGCAGGTGCAGGGAAGAGAGCATTCCCCAAGTGCGGGGTACGGCCGGAAGCCAGGCGCAGGCGTGGGCGTCAGTATGTGGGGACGCAGAGCCTTGTGGGTGCCACCATGCAGGCACAGGGGGTGCAGGACAGACATGCGCAGAGGGCCATTCCCCTTCTCGGCCTCTGTTTCCCCAGAAGTTTGAGCAGATGGTCCAAGCCCCCGCAGAAGGGAAGAGAATGGTGTTCTCCCCTGGGCCCCTGGGCATGCTCTGCATACCTCCTGCTGATCTGCTATCTTGCCCCAAGGTTCTTGGGCTCCGGTTTCTCCAGGCACAGCCAGGCTTTCTCCTGGGACCACAGCGGGTGCTCAGTGTCTCTGCGTGAGGTTGGGGTCCCGTCTGATTAGAGGCAGAAGATGCTCCCATGCATGAGAAACGAGAAGCAGGATCACAAACAGTGATAAAGGCAGAGGAATTCAGGCAGACTTCCCAGCCCCTCCTCGTACTTGCTTTGAAGCTTCGAGTAAAAAGATGGTGCTTGTGAAATGCTGAGCTGGCGTCAGACCACTGGTGACACTCAGTGACAGCTGCCTCCAGTGTCGGTGGCTGACTGAGAGTCTGGTCTAGGATGCCGCACGCCCTGTCTCCCTGTTCTGGGGCCTTCAGAGCATCTTAGGCTTAAAGGAGCCTCTGGGTGGGCACCACACAGCTAAACAGGAGTGGCTGGCCACGGGCTGGGCTCCCAGCCCGTGTCCAGTGCTGCTGGGGTCTAGAGCAGGAAGAGTCTCGGCTCATGGTTGGACAGGGACAGCTCCCCATTATGGTGCAGCCAAAATAGCCCTGAAGCCACGGCTGGTCTGGCTGTGCCTGGGGAGGAATCCAGCCAAAGAGGGCTGAAGGGTTAGGGGCCCTGAGGGTCAAAATGGCCCAGCGAGGCTGAGGGGAGGGCGAAGGCATTCCCTGCAGAGAAGACCACTGGGCCAAAGGCATGGAGGCTGGCGTGGGCCTTAGATACCAGGATGTGGAGCTGCAGACACAAGCGGTCACTTTAGTTCTCTGCCTGTGTCTGACCGGTCTGCCCAGATCACATCGGAAGTTCCACCCCAGCCAGCAGGACCACCCATCACCCAGGCCCTCATGCCCCCAGCTCCATCTCCACTTTGTCTCCATGGAACCTTCGGAGGTCCCAGAGCACATCCCACCACCCTTGAATTGCAAGAAAGCCACAGCCCCGAGACTTTCCAAACCCAGCCCTGATGGCTCTCAGAGACCCTCTGGTGCCGGGATTGTGGCCCTGCTCCAGGAAGCCCTGCTGAGGGGGCTCAGGGCAGGCAGCTGACAGCGTCTCAGGCACCAGCGCTGCTTTCCTGTGCTTTATACCTTGGGCTTCTGCCTAAGATCTCACTTCTGTCTTCTGCTGCTAGAAAACATTTTAAAGTCCATTGGTCTGTTCCTGTTCCTTCATTGTATACACTCGGAAACTGAGGCCTAGGGGACGGACTTGCTCAAAGTCTCGCAACACACGGGAGCATCGGGCGGGCTAGAGCAGTGTCTGCCTTCCACCCGGGCAGAGGGCCCTTTCCCACGTGAGGGGCCTCTTGGTGCCAGCCGTCCGCGGAGCCTGGGAACACTCAGTGTTTGGCTTGGCTTTGAGGCCACTTTGCCATGAGATGATTTCCCCCAGCCTCAGCCTGGGGTGGGGGATGTGGGTCCGGACTGGGCTTTGTGAGCAGAGCGGGCCTGAGATGTGGGGGTCACTTGGAGGGGCTTTCTGTCCATCCCCTCAACCTCACCCCATTTCCCTGGGACTCCTTCCAAGCAGTAAAACCTCCAGTCAGGCTCCAAGGGGAAGTTTGCATCTTTGGTTTTCAATGTGAAAGCAAATGCCTTTAGGTGCCTTGTGAGACATAGTTTTCTTGAATCTCACTTGGTCTTCCTTCTGACAGTGGGGGCTGGATGTGGCCAGCCTGGGCCCCCACTCTGGACACCCCAAGAGGCACCCAGCCTCCTCGCCTGAGACCAGCCTTCCTTGCCTCCCAGCTTCTCAGTTTGGAAAAGTAGGGCAGCCCCTGGGAAGAAATTTTTATTAGAAAAGAAAGGAAGGGAAGGGGCTGAGGCAGTGACCCTGCTGGGCTGGGGCACGATCCCCTCCCAGGGCTGAGGCCAAGGGGCCTCCTCTCTGACCCTGGCAAGCCTCCCCCCACGGGTGTATGAGGTCTCCACAGGAAGCACCACACTTCACTGCTGGGCTCTCCGTCTCCGCCTGCTCACCTATGCGGTTAGGGACGGTGCCCCAGCCTAGCTGGGCAGATAGCCTGATGCACATCTGTGTCCTAATCTCCTTCAGCCTCAGCATCCTCATTTTGGAAGTGGCAGTAATAAGATGGCACATGTATAGCGTCAAGCACAGGAAATGCTCTACGAATGGAGGGTGTGATACAGACACAAACATATTAAAAATGGTGCTAAAAATGGTCAACACCATATAGCGCTTGCAGTGTGCCAGGAGCTGTTCTAAGCACCTTATGCAGGAAACCCCTTCAAACCTCGTAGGCATAAATAGGTACCAGTGACACAGTGTGATCAGTGCGGAATGTACAAGGCTTTATGGGCACTTCAGCTTTTCCAAGTGGCATTAGGGGCTGGGGGGCACATCAAAGAGGCCTCCAGGCAAGGGGACATTGAGTCAGGCCTTCAAAGATGAGTCAGAAAATGGCAGCAGGACATCAGATGTGACTGGAGAGGGTGGTGTGTGCAGGGAGAGCTGGGAAACGTGCGGTCAGCCAGCACCAGATCACGTGAGAGGCCCCAGGTGCTCTGAAGTCCGACACGGGGTCGGAGGCGTGACATGCTGGGTTTTGTGGGTTATAAGGAGCGTTCAGAGCCACCTGGTCTGCCCTTCCCCTCTGGTTCCACCTGCACACTCTGTTCAGGGACATATTCCCTCTGTCCATGGTGTGTGACAGCTCCTCTGGAAGTTTCTAAAGACAGAGGAACACAGATGTCACAACTGTAGAGTCTAGGGTGACAGGGACCTCATGCAGGGACATGGCAGTGTAGAGAGGGAGGGAGGGAGAGAGCAGGGAGTGACAAGCTCCTCCTTTTCTGAAGGTGCTCAGACAGCGATCCCAGAGCAGAGGTCCCAGGCCATGTGCAGGCAGGGGTGTGCTCAGTGACTCCCAGGCACCTCTGCTCACCTGCCCCACTGAGGCCGAGCCAGGCTGAGAGGGTCCAGCTGGCACAGTGGTGGGACTGAGCTGTGGCGGTGATGATTACAGGGCTCCCCACAGTGATATGGCCAGTTGCTGGGGCCTTGTGCCCAGCACATGGTAACACGGCCAGTGTGGGGCGGGGACTCCCCGCTGGCCTGGAAGCGACAGCCCATCGGGGAGGGAGGGGAAGCACTGGAGAGCGGGCAGTGTCCCACATAGAGGAGGCCGCCCACTCTGCAGATGCCCAGGGAAGGACAAGCTTCCTGCCCAGCCATCAGCAGCTAGTGAGCACCCGCTGGGTGTCCAGTTCACATCTCGTCCCTGCTGTGTGTCCTGGAGTGAGTTACTCACCCTCTTTGTGCCTCGGTTTCTTCACACGTGAAATGCAGTAATAGTCTTACCTGCCTCGTAGTGTTGTCCTGAGGATCAGAGGTTAACATATCCTACGTGCTGGAGACAGAGCTGGAATGGGGCCCTCACTCTGTACTCTTCTCGCCGCTGGGAGCACCCTCAGCCTTGTGTAAGCTGGGCTCCCTGCCTTCATGGCTGACTGCGGTGTCACCTCTTCTGGGAGTCCATCCTAGCTCCACGCTGGGTTGGTTGGGGCCCATCTGTGTGCACCCTGCCCCTGGCCTTCCCCTGCCATCCTGGCCCTCTGGTGTGACGGGGCTTGTCGGGTGCTCTGTCTGCATCTTTGTGTGACTCCCACTGCCCGGCGCTGCACAGGGCAGGCGTGGGCTCCCCGCTTCTGGGGCCCAGCCCTTTCCCTCACCGCATAGCCTTCTCCCCCTTGGCCTCTCTTTATTATGCCTCTGTGATTGTCCCCTCTCTTCCCCAGTCCCTGTCTTGCCCTCTGCCCCTCTCTCTGTCATCATTTCCTCTATCTCCAGGACCTGAGCCAGTAACCTGGTCCTCCCTCTGCCCTCCCTTCCACTTTCTGATGCCACCAAGTGACGGCCTCAGCCTGCCAATTTGTTCCACACTTAATCTCTTATTTCTGTCTCACTCTCTGTCTCTCTGTCTGAGTTCTTCTATCACTTTCAATGGGCTTCCTTGAGCCAAGCTCCAAAACTGGCTTCTGTTTTTATAAGTTCATGAGGGACCACTGCCAGCAGCACTCCCTGTGGCTGTGCGAAGTGAAGCCAGCCAGGGCTCCTACCCCAGGAGGCTCCCCGCCCCCTCTGTGGCCAGGGGCCTTGCTGAGCCTCAGTCTTCTCATCTGGTGGAAGACATGATGAGACCTGTTTGAAAGTTTGTTTTGAGGACCAGAAATACTGCTTGTAAAGTGCAGGCTCTCAGTGGATTCTCAGTAAAAGGTAGCCGTGATCATGAGGGTGAGATCGTGTGGTTGTTTGTGCATTTTGTTTTGTTGTGTGTTTATTTCAGACTGGGGAGGGGAGGGCAGCAGGAGGCCCGGGGGACCTGCACGTATAGGTGTGGATGCTGCCTGCCTCGGTGTGACCCCAGGTGGATCTCCTCCAAAACACTACTTCTTTCTGCCTGGTACCCAGTTCTCGAGTCATCACACCTGGGGCCAGCTGTGTGGCTCTGGGCCCCTTGTTTCCTTCTCCATTTTATGAGAAAAAAATAGATCCAATAAAAAGTTGGATCTGAATCATATGGCTGCAATCCAGGTCAAGGCTTCCGAGTGGCCACTCCACGTTCCATGTGTTTTCTCCTTCTAGCACCACCGCCTCGCCACCCCCGCTACCCCTCCAGACCACGCACAGCTCCAGGACCGCCAAGCCCCCCTTCCAGCTCTCTGACCCGCTCCAGCAGCAGGAAGAGCTGGAGCCGGCCAGCAGCTCAGCGTCCAGCCAATCCCAGCCGGCCCTGGGCCTCCTCCCCGCCGTCGTGGCCAGCATCACAGCCCCCTTCCTCCTGCACACCCTCCGGCCCTCCTGACCTCGGCCGCCCGCCCAGTGCAGAGAAAGAAGCCAGAGAAACAACAGGAGGGTCTGCGGCCACACCCACTGCCCCTGCCAGCACCTGCAGGGGTGCCTGACACTCACGGGCAGTCCAGATGGGATCCGTTAGAACACTAGAGCTTTATTGTACCCGAGTTACATCTTCTTTTTTGTAGAAGGATCTTAATTTCCCATAGTGCTATGGGGCTCTTTTGTAAAATATGTGTCCATATTAAAACAAAAAAATGTATTTATTCTACCGATAAAACTATTTTTATGTGGCCAATGTTAATAACCCTTTAACTAGCCCCAGTGCCAACCCAGGAGGTGAACCCAGGTTGCCAGGACATCTATGACCTCATGAGGACTTTGAACTGGCTGGCTCCTGGATCAGTGGAAGCCTCCAGAGTCCGGGTTTGGCTTCCCCCACAGTGGGGACCTCAGAGGGAGGGGCAGGCAGACAGTCTTAGCTTTTGTGAAGCTGGATTTGGGAGCCAGAGATGTGAACGCTGACGGTCCTTCCTTCCCCTGGACGCATCCTGGGGCTGGGAAGATACTTTAGGAAAGAGAATGCTGCTATTTTGAAAACCCTGAGTGTCTGTGAACTGGCCCTCCAGAGCTCTTGGTAAGTGTTTCGACCAAAGCACTGGGATGGGGGGGGGATACTGGTGCTGAGGGAGGTGGTCCCTCAGCCCCATGTGACAGATGGTTAAATGGAGCTGGTTAAACTCACCAAAGAGAGGAAGGTGGTTGCCCAAGGTCACAAAGCAAGCGGGAGATCCAGGTTGTGAGTCCAGACCTCCCTGTTCTGGTACCATTCATCCACCTTGGCTTACAGGAGAGGCTGCTGAAGCCACGGCCAAAGGGAGTGAGCTGGGCTGAAGGATAGGAGTGGGCACTGAAGGGCAGTTTTAGGGATAGGCTCCGGGAGTCCTGTGATAATAATACTCAGAATGAGAGCTGCCTTTTGTCCAAAGCCTGCAGCGTGGCAGGCGCTGTGCACATTCACTTCATCATGGATCCTCATGGCAGTTCTGTGAGATGTGATCATCTCCATTTCACAGATGAGGAAACTGAGCCCCCATAAGAGATAAAAGGACTTGTTCAGTGTCACCCAGGCAGAATGTGGCCTTAGATCTATCATGTGGTCTTTGCCCAGGGAAGCTCCGAGGGAAGCAGTTCTCACCCCAGTGGGCCAGCACACGCGTCTTACTCCAGCCAAGGAGACCGCCTGGCCAAAGTTATCATGTTGGTCCCTCTAGCCAAAGGGCTCAGGCAGCAGGCCTTGCCGTGTGTCCCATGTCCCGACTGGTCTTATCTTGGAGCCAATGAGAGACTTTCCCTCCAAATCAGAGGTGGGGGTGGAGGACAGCTGTGATCGGCCTGGAGAGGCCAAGGAGCCCAACACAGACAGGCCACTGAGACTTAGAGAAATAGACCTAGTTCCTTGGTCCCCAAAGTGGTGGCCAAGAAGGCAGAGGACCCAGGTTGGCTGCCTCCCAGCCCTGAACCCTCTCTGGGCTGACAGCTCATCAATTTCAGAGTTCTGGAACCCGAGAGCAGAAAGGACCCTTCATTTGACACATAACAATAGTGAGAGTGGAAATAAGGCCCGGAGAGGAAAGGCGCTTCCCCAAGGCGGCACAGCTGGGCAGGTCTGCTGATTCCCAGCTCATTGCTCCCCAGTGCCACTGCACCATGAGCTTCCCGGCAGGCCTGGTAGTGTCTGATTAGACCAGTGCCGCTGGGCCCAGCTTGGCGGCTGTCTCCTTTCTGAGACGGTAGAATTCTGGGTAGCTCTGGATAGTCAGAGGCCCCACAAGCATCTTGGCGGGCAGCTGAATTCTTTTCAGCTCTGACCCAGATGGCTGTGTTTGAACTTGAGACCGGGAGGAGCCCTGAGCTCTACATCAGAGGGTCCAGCCAGCCCCGTGGGCACCACACTATAAACTGAACTTGACCCAAGCCAGGGCTAGAGTCCGTTTACCCTTGGCAGAAATGTGACTTCCTATTTCTGAGCAGGAAGGGACTTAACTGACTTATAAAGCAGGCTCAGAAGGCCTGTTGGACATCAAACAGATCGTGCAGAGTGCTATTTGGATGAGATAAGTGTAAAGGAATTAGAAACACACAGGCCAGATTTCCCTCTGTTCAGGGCAGAGTGTGGCATAAGATGAATTAAGATGAAGCTTGAGGTTAATTAAAAAAGAAGCATTTGGTAAACAGTCCAGGCACCTGTCCTCCTGCCCAGATCTGTGCCAGGCACAAGGCCAAAGAGGTGAATGAAAGTGGTGTGTGATTATCGAGCACACGCAGTACCCGGCTCTGTGTTGGGGCCAAATCTAGCTGCCTTTCTTGGCCAAAAAGAACTTATCATCAATATGGAACAAGCAGCCCAACCCTGGGTTCCTAGAAGGAGCCTTAGAGGTCATCCTGCCCAGGCCTCTGGCCACAGGCAGACTTCCCGGGTCCCTCCTCTGGGCAGGTTGGGAGAGTCCAAACTCTCCCTCCACCAAGCACTCGAGTGTTTAGAGAAAGACGCATGGGCAGCAGATGGATGGGCCGACTGATCAGATAGACACGTGCTGACGGAACACCTGGAGGCATTGTGAATTAGACATCTGCAGCCCAAGTTCACAGATCCCTGACAATCACCCACTGGCCAGGAATTGAAATGAACTGAGCTTGCTGACTTACTTCCCAGAAGACCTCAGACATGTGTATGGAAATCTGCATGGCTGGGGCACTTGAATTCTCCTCCCTTCCTGGGCCAGGGAACCACCATTCATCTTCAGCCACTCACACGCTTTGGAATGATCTATCCACCACTGTTGACTTTTTTTTCCAGCACATTCTACATGCCACGCCTCATAAAATGCCCCTGTGGCTCTGAGAGCATCATGTGCATGTCTTAGGACCTTCACATTTGACCTTGAGGCAGGCAGAGAAGATGGAAGGACTGAGAGCCAGCATGTCAGTGGTGGCCCTGAGTGCCGTCCCTCAGGATAGCTGACTGAGAGACCAAGGGCCTTTCTGGCTCGAGTCAGCGTGGCAGTGTGTCTTCTCCACTCCCTCCAGGCTGTCCTGACGCACCAGCAGCCAGGTGAGGCAGGGCAGTGAAGGTGTGCGAGTCAAGTTGCGGGGAACCACAGAGTGCATTGAGGCCCCCTCCATCTCTGAGATTCAAAGACCTGGAATCTGCGAATCATGGAAGCATGTACTGACTGGGAAATTCGGCTTTGCACAGAAAGACTGTGAGTGGATTTTCCGCTTACATTACACTGAATGCTCTGTCATCCACTTTCTGGCCTCAGCTAGATTTGGGCAAGCCTCGGGACTCAGGAAACTTGTCCCATTTGCCTGGTCTCTGGCCTGGGGCCATGGTCACAAGGGATCCCAAAGAAAGGTCCTCCACCAAATGGAAAGTTTATGAAAATACCGTGAATGACGAGAGAGGGTCCACCTGAGAATGGCAGCTTTGCTGGTATCCTGTGTAGCGGAGAACAGAATTGGGGCTGGGGACATGCCCCTCAGCCTGGCATTCTACACCCTCCACGATCGGGCCCTGCTGACCATGCCAGCCTCTCCTCTCACCTCTCCTGCTCTGTGCTTAGCCAGACTGAAGCCTATTTGTCACTTCCAGAATAGACAGATGTTTCACACGTGCTACTTCCTAGGCCTAGAAACACCCTTTTCTTGCCCCTTATCCTCTGAGGATCAACTCATTACGTCCTCCAGGAAGCCCTCTGAGTTGAGACTGTGTCTCTGCTCTCCTATTGGACTGTGAGCTCCTCGGTGGCAAAGGTCACAGGCCTTCATCTTTGTATCCTCATTGGATACACAGATGGCCCTCAAAAAGTTGTGGAGAGGGACAGAGGAAGAAAAGAATGAAGGAGACAGAGAGGCATACCTTAGCTCTGCTGTGGAGTGGTCTCTGCAAAGCCAAAGCTGTCGGCAGATGGCAGGTGCCCCACAGGTGGGGAGTTTCTGTCCAAGAGGAGTGTGAGCAGTGGCGGCAGGCCCGCTGGCTGGAGACGTGGTAGGAGAGTTGAAGTCTTGGTGAGGGAGTCGGGTAGGGTCCCTCCTGGCTCTTTAATGCTCAGGTTCTTTGAACATTGTTAGTTTTCCAAAAATTCATCTAAGCAGCCAAAAAAAATCACCCAGGCTGGCTGTCTAAACCAGTAAGTTTCAGAAATCGGTCCAGCCCCTCAGCCCGGCACCCCAGCCCCTCCGTTCATCAGCAGCCCCGCCGGGCCTGAGGTGAATTGGCAGGCTTGCCTGCTTCCCTGAGGTTGGGGACTTCTGGGCAGTGGGGGAGGGCTGGACTGGAGCCTAGGCCCCTGGTCCCAACCCAGAGTTCCTTCTCTCCTTCAGCCCCTGACACTAGGGGAGGGAGAAGGGATTCATGAGAACCCCTGAGCCCTACCTGGCCCTCTCCCTGGAGCATCAGCACACCCTCATCTCCCCCTACTCTTCCTCCAAATGTGGGCTCTTCCTTTCCAGAGATATTCTAGAAAGTCCTTCAGTTTGCTGGGTGACCTTGGGCAAACTGCTGTCGCTCTCTGAGCCTACATCTCCTCATCTGTCAAATGGAGACTTTGGGCTACCTGGGCTGTTCTGGAGACCTGGGGGAGTGCTGTATGCAATCTTGGGGCTCCATGAGGGTGAGGTGCCACCACTCCCTAAGCCCAGCATTTGGCTTTCCTCCCAGGACTCGCAGGCTGCTGTGGAGTCGGGTGACAGAGTAGCACACCTTGGAGGGCCCCTCTATCCCCAGTCCCGCTGCGGGGAAGCTGGGCTTCCAGCAAGACCCAAGTCTAAGACGGTCCCAATAGGGCTCTCAGACATCTTGGGCCCCCAGTGGCTGGGGTGGCAGGGCTGGCTCTTGGCCAAGAGTTGTTCTAGCCCAGAGCAGGGGAAGCCAGTGCCCCTGCCCCATTCCTGGGCCTCAAAGGGATTGCAGGGCGTCCCGACCTGTCTCTCATTGTGTGACACAAGCTTCAAATCTTAATGTATTTGAAAGGTATTCATGATGTTCTTTTAATCACCTCTTTCCCTCACTTCTGTGAATTATCATGAAGAGTTCTTTAAGAATATAATAGAAGACAAAGAAAGATGCTATTAATGTTATTTTGCCAAAAATATTTTTGTAGCATAATATATTAATAAAAGATGTAATGAATTCAACGAGATGTTGTCTCTGTGTGCCGACACTCCCCTCCTCCTGCCAGGGAGCACCCTGTGTGGGGAGATCGCCTTTGCTGGGAGAGCCAACACCAGAGGCAGTGACACAGAGGAACCGGATCCGGCCCATTTCCCTGCAGAAATATGGACAGATTCTGGGAGGGTGGTTTGGGCAGGAGTCCAAAGGTTCGAGAGGTCTCATGCCAAGTGGGGTCTAGAGAGCCCACTCCAGCCAAAATGAGCTCCCTGCAGACCTGGAGGAGCTGTTCACCGGAGCAACAAACCTAGAACCTGGCTTCATCCTTGGGGCCCCCTTCTCTGACTCCTCACTCACCAACACCTACTGACTTAATCTTAGCAATCCTCCCACCTCCCTCCACCCCACTGCCCCTCCCTAGTCCACGCCTCCTCCTTTCCCCTGCCACCTATGGTCATGTCCCCTCCAGCCCACTCTCTCCTCTGCAGCCAAAGAGATTTCTATAAACCACAACAATGACCACGCACCTCCCCAGAATTTAAAACTCAACCATGTCTCCCCACTGTTTCCAGAACAAGGGTCAATGTCACACCGGGTTCTCTGGCCCTTGCCCATTTCTGCAGTGTGAAATTCACATCTTACCCGTTCCTCTCCTGGTTTTCAACACTCCAGGGCCACTGGCTGCCTCTGTGTTTCCTGAACTCATCCTCCTCTTCCCCATCCTCTGCCTTTACACACGCTGTTCCCCTGGTGCCCATTATCTTTCCGCATCTCTGCCCCTCACTCACTGCTCTGTTGAGCTCCTACACATCTTGCATGACCCAGCTCCAGCGGTATCTGCTCCACAAGGCTTCCGAGACTCCTCAAGCTCAGTTAGCCCTTCCTCCCCTCCATCCCCACAGCACCCTGTCCGCTGTGCACCTGGGTTGTGGGGAAATGACCTGCATGTGGCTGTCCTTCCCCTTGGCTTCCTGGGGCCAGCACCATGCGTGGTCATCTCTGTGTTGTCAAAGCATAGGATTTGACATCTAGCGGGTGCTGGTGAAAGAAAGACCCAGTCAATGACGAAGGGAAGGAAGAAGAAAGGAAAGACCTCAGGTAAAAAATATAGCTTCTATATCACATCAGACGTCACACTTCAAGGGTTAGCTGGCTGGAATCTGCCCAAGGTGTGCTTCTGCAAGGTCCCCCAGGCAAGCGATTTAACCACTGGGACTTGGTAGGGGAGGGGGGCACGTGCCTGAGAGGTCATAGGAGAGGTATCTAGCTCTGAAACCATAGTGCCTTTACCGAGGCGATTCATTGGCCGTGGCTAACGATTTCTCACTGGCTCCTACTAAGAGGAGTGTGGATTGCACGTGGTGGGCCTACCCCCGCCCCAGATAGAGGTGATAACGCAATAGGAAGATGACACTGGTTGAACATCTATTATGCATCGCACAACATTCTAAGCATTTATGTCTTAAATTACTTTATTCTCACAACTATTCTTCTTTACCTCTATTTTATAGATGAAGTAACTGAGACCCAGAGAGGTTCAGAAACTTGTCCACAATCACAGTTTGTAATTGCTGGAGCCGGGATTGGAACCCAAGTAGTCAGGCTCCAAGACTCTTCTCTTAACTTTTACCCAGGTATGCTGTGCTGTCCTGTGTGGGCTGCGGCCTGTGAGTTGGGCAAGGAGGCCTCTGCATCCCTGTTTCACAGGCCAGATGGGTGAAGTGAGGTCCCATCTGAGGCCCAGTGCAATGAGCGTCTTCCACGTCCTGGAGCCTGCCCAGACCTCTGTCCCTCCCACAAACTCTGGACAGAGGTCCGGAGAAGCAGCCTCCTGCTCCCCACCCTGCCCCAGCGCAATGGTCTTTAGGGTTAACATCAGTGATGTGAAGATCCCTGCTGTGGCCCATGACCCTGGGTTCTCTGCCCCTCGTACACCAGCTGCTCTCAGGAAAAGAAGCCTCTGTCATCTACCCACCTAGGCGCCCAGCGGGAGAGTGAGCCTTTGTCCTTCCTTGGAGGATGTGGCCCTCAGGTCAAGTGCCTCCTGGAGGAGAAGATGTGGCCCAGGAATGGGGTTTCAGACACAATGGAATGGGTGACTGAGGGGACCAGGGACTTTTCAGAGCCAGCCTGCTCTCCATATGGCAGCAAGAGGGGAGACCAAGAGTCCGTACCCAATGCACTCATGTCTTCACCTCCCAAGCTGGGACCGCCGGCCCACCCCTCTCGCCCTGAGCTCTGGGCAGGCTCCCACTGACGTGCTCTTCTGGGGAGAAACCAGATGCCCCTTCTGGTATTAGATTATTAGATTCTAGAGGACCCCATCTCAGCCCTAAATCGCTGTAGGGCAGCCCCAGACAGGAGGCTTCTCCGTGTAGCTAGAAAGATCAGAGCAGGGCCCGGGGAGGAAGCTCCAGGAGGTGGGGGAGAGCTGCCCAGGACCAGGACAGGATGCTGAGGAGCTAGGGATTCTCTGATGTGGGGGGTGACGGCGCGGGGACCCCTACCCCAGGGGAGAGGCTGGCCGGCTGGCCGCCCTGTCTTCCTCTGTCTCTGTCTCTCTTTCTGCTGATCTCTCACACCTCTGTGCCCTTGCTCCCTCTCCATCTTTTTATATCCTCGGAGGCCCCTCCCTCCCAGCCCTGAGCATCTCGGGCCCTACCGCCAACCCTGCAGAGACCCTCAGTGTCCTGCCGCAGATGCATGCATGCCAAGGACTGCAGGCCCTGTGCTCCAGCCCTGCCTCAGCCAGCTCTGTGGCCCCAGACAAGTTCTGCCCCTCTCTGGGCCTCCGTCTCCTTATATGCATGAAAGGACATGGAGCAAATTGTAGTCCCTAAAATTCCTTTGAGAAAGAGCAGCGTCCGTCCTCATTTGGAAGACTGCGTCCAGGGACGCCTAAGGTAGGATGGAAAACCAGCACCTTCTCCTACCTCAAAGGAGGTGGAAGGAAAGTCGTTTTGATGGCCAGGAGAAAGGATTTTGTCATTTTGCTTTTGAAAAGGAGGGCAAGAGAAAGAAGAAATCAAGAGTAGGAAGGAAGAGAAGCAAGGAGCTGGGAAGAGAAGATAGAAACAGGGAGGTGGGTCAGTGGCGCCTCGGCGGGGAGAAATCCTGCAGGCAATAGTCATTTCTGGCTGCAGTGAGGCCCCAGCTCCAGCCGCTCTGCCCGTCTCTGGTGCGTCCTCCACTGCTTGTGAAGATTTGGGATGGCAGGGGGACCATGGAAGGGGCTGGTTTTCACTGCTAAGTTGACATAGTATGAAGTGGAGGGGGCAAGGTCAAGGACGGGGGCTGGAGGCCAAGAAGACCACATGAATGTGAGCCCCATGGAATTCACCAAGTCTGGGTGGGGCTTGAACTCCACCCACAGAGCTGGGTGTCCAGGACAATCTTAACCAGGGACGTTGGAGCTGGAATACCCTGCCATGTCTGGGTTACAAGTGGACAGAAATCACAATCCTAGACCTGCCAGCCTTGGGCTCCCGTGAGCTGAGGGGTGTGGGAGCTCCAGGGCTCATTGAGCCAGCTGGGAACATTCCAGGGCTGCCTGGCCCATTCGGGCCGGGCTGGGTTAGGAGGGGCTCCAGTGGGGGCCTCCAGCTGTGGTTCGCTGCAGCCAGGAAGCCAGGCCAGCCGGGCCAGCCACTGTTAAAGCATCATAAAAAGAAATTATTTTCAGAAAATATTCATAAAACCCCGTTTTATGTCAGTTCTGGGCTTGCAAAAAAAAGGTTCCTGAGCTTTCTCTCTTTGTATTTTCCATTTCTTCCTCCCTGATCAGTCGCAAAATAAGAATGATAAAATTTCCAACCTGAAGACACAAGTCCCCAGGCAAGGATTAGAGACCCGCAAGCTTCCCAGACGGTCCCTGCCTAGTTCCAACCATCTCCTCCTCCCTGAGACTTGGGAAGGGTGGAAAGGGGGCCGATCAGGACAGCAACAGGAATGGGGAAAGAATGCAGGAGGAGACAGGCGAACAAGAAGGAAAACCATACAGAAAGTGAGGCTCCAGAAGGAGTGAGGGATCCGCAGAGAGAGAGACAGAGAGGAGGAAGAGACAGACAGACAGACCGTGCCAGAGAAGGAGGAAGAGGAGAATGAGAGTAGTAGGAAGAGGCTCGAATGGAGAGAAAGGAAACCCAGACGAGAGAAGATCCAGGTGGAGGAACAGGACAGTTTGGGGTTGGAACACAGCAGGGTCTTCCTGAGAGCAAGGAGGCCCCAGGGTGGGTTCCCAGCACAGGCTGCGGCTGCGGATGCGAGCCAAGATGGATGGGGACACTCCTGAGAGCAAGCAGGCTCCTCCTCCCAGGAAATCTTGAACATGCGATTTGCCTGCCTGGCTCCCCAAATTCAGTACAGCAGCCCCTCCCCCTCCCTCCTCTGACAAAAGTTCTGCAGGCTCAGCCCCGGTCATGGGCTGGTCTTCAGGGAGTCTGGGGCCTGGCCTTGGCCTTGCCCTCAAGTGATCCCTCCCTCTCTCAGCCTCGTTTTCCTCATCTCTGTAATGGCATAGGTTGCAATAAGGTTGTAATGAGAAAGTAGATGTAAAAATGCTTCAGAAACGAAGGCCCAACACATGTGTTAGTCGTTACTGCTGTCCCTGCAGGCAGCCAGGCTGTGGGGGCACAAGGCAGCCCATCCAGCTGAAGGCCCACAAGTGTTCCAGCCCCAGAGGGCGGCTTCCAGGCGCAGCTAAGGGCGATCTCGCCCGAGTGGTGGGCAAAGGCAGGCCTGGACCGCTTCACTGCGCATATTTAGAAGTTGGTTCTTTATCAGGAAAGCAGTGGGAGCCCCTGAGGTCAGCTGTGTGCCCCTGACTCTCGCTGCTTTAGTTCTCTGTTCCCCTGGCATTATGGTATTTGATGGATCTGTGATTTTGCAAATCAGCCTGGGGCCCTGTGGAGGAGCCAGTGTAGGTGGGCCCTGGACTAGGGCAAGAAGCGAGGAGGTCAGAGGAGGAGCGAGGTTGACTTTTGGGAGTTTATTTTCATGCCAAGGGCTATGTGCCTGAGACTGG